GTTCTAATTAGTTATACCTGACAGCAGCTTGCATTTTAACACATTGTACATAAATGGAGCACAAATTCTCATTCCTCTAACTGTACATGATGTAGAGTCACATGGGTCGTGCAATCATACAATGTATATAGGGTAACAATGTCTATCTCAGTCCACTATCTTTCCAACTCTCACACCCCCTCCCCTTCCCCTCACTCCCTCTGCCCAATCCAAAGTTCCTCCATTCTTTGCTAGTGTGACACTGCATTTTGATTATTTCATAGAGCTTACACCTCTCTGCATACATTACAAAATTTCCTTGCCCATTGTCAATTCTCTTATTACATTAAGTATATTTGTTTTTAAAAAAACATTTTTTAGCTGTACATGGACACAATACCTTTATTTATTTTTATGTAGTGCTTAGAGTTAAACCCAGTGCCTCACACATGCTAGGCAAGTGTTCTACCACTGAGCTACAACTCCAGCCCAAGTATACTTATTTTTATTTTTAATTCCTGAGATTATACGTAACTCTACAGTCTATGCCATATCTGAGTCCAGTTCCTGTGCTTGCTTGATTCCTTCCACTATGTTTTTCCTTGCTTTTGAACAACTTTGATAGTTTCTCTTGACAGCTGCACATGACATAATGTGTGAGAGGAACTGAAGAAAGAGGCCTTTATTGTGAGCTTTATGTTAGTTTGTGTTTATTGTTAGCCATAGCTGTGGGAGCAGAAGGTTAATCTTTCTCCAGAGATTTTGTTTTTGTTTCATCTTTTGCCTTTGGGATTCCCTAAGAGATTCTTCTTAAATAGAAGACTCTGTAACATAAACCTTTCCCAGTTATCTGCTATTGAATCCCTGTTATATAGCAGTCTCTATATCAGGAGAAGCATAAAATCTTATGATTAAATCTCAGTATTGGTGTGGGCCTGTGTCCTAGAGCCATGACCTTCAAAAGTATTTTTCTATCTCTCACTACTTTTTGTAAGACAAGAAGTATAGAGGTGGCTGGCATTGGGTAAATACCTTACCCATTGTATAGGACTTCACCCATGGGTATAGGACTTTAATATGGTCTTTCTACCTGGAAGTAGATCTTTGCTATGGAAAATGTTTTAGTCCAACTTCAAACGGTTTATTTTCTTCTCCCTATGCCAAAGTCATGAGGGGGGGGATTATTTTTGATCCTTCATTGTGAGAAACTGGCAGGTCCCTGGAAGAAAAACCCATGCAAGTTTGGGTTCCTTCCTAAAACACCCTTCCTAAGTTTGGATGCTTTCAGGAGTTTCTCACTTTACTGCCAATCCCCACTCAACATTCAGTAATTTCTCAAAATTAGCATTTAATAATATGTAACAAAAAATCCAACCATTATGTACAACAATGATACACCAACAAAACTGGAAAAAAAATACCATCTAAATATTCCTAACACTTCACAGCTCTAGAAGTTTCTGGTCCAGATAAGCAGAAATTAAAAAGGGCTCTATGTACTTAAGTGCTGTGCACATATCAAGGAACGGATTTGCTCTACTACTTCAATTCTCTATTAGTCCAAAGAAAAGTTGTTGGTTTTAAATGTGTACATTATTTTTGCATGAGTGGTTAAAAGAAGGAAGTACCGACATGCAATTCCCATTATGTCAGCATTGTAACTGGAAACCCAAGTTTCTCATGTCTTACTGTAATCTGCAAAAGTCACAATCCAAGCAAAAATTTGTATTCTCAGAAAATAATTTGAGAAGCACTGTATAAACTATGTCAGGCTTCCCTAAAGCTGTTGGTGTCACACCATGGAGAGGGACATGGGCAGTGGGTGTGTGGAAGAGCAGTGCCATTGTCATCTGTTCCATAAACACACTAGGTAGGTATAGGAGAGCAGGATTAGGCATTTTCCCTTGGGCTTGGATGGAACTGAGAAAAGGAAAGTCTTTTTTCCCAGGCACTCTCTTCTCCATCTTAAGGGTCTTTAGATACCAAAGCATACAAGTATAATTTAAGACTTTTGTTTATCTCTAAGACCTCAGGCTACAAAAAAAAAAAAAAAAAAAAAAAAGAAGAAGAAGAAGAAGAGCTTGAAATGGGGGTGGGAAGACGACAGAAGAGGGAAGCTCAGGATAAGGTGATCAGGTATGGGGGTGTTCAGAGAATGTTCCTTGGGTGGGTCTTCACCTTGGACTCGTGTTCATGATGGAAGTATGCACGATTTCTGCCTGTTGGTTTCCCACGTGTCCTAGTACTTGAATTTGCAGACATAAGGTAACTCTCTATCGCAGCTGTAATCTCTCCACTTCAGAAATGCTGGAGAGGAAGAAGAGATAAAGTGACTGAGAAAGGTGGATTTTGTGATCCCAGAGAAGTGGCATCTCAGTTTCTATCCCAGACTTTTAGATTCTCTCTCATCTTCACCAGTGTCTGACTCCAAGGGAAGAAGACTCAGAAAAAGGAGAGATCAAAGGAGATAGGAGAAGACAAATCAACTTTCTTTTTCTGCTTGCATGAATCAAAATTCAGTTTCCTCTCAGAAGGATTCCCTGATGGTCAGGCCCCAGAATGGTTGAGGAGAGATGGGAAAGACCTGGCAGAGGTGACACCTCTAAATGCTTACCTGAGTTTCATGACACACTCCCACAATAACCACGGTCTGAAGCAGTGGACGGATTCCTCTCCCAGTTTGCGTAATTCAGCACATCAGTGCTGCTCCACTCCCAACCAGCACCATTGGGTTCTTGGCCCTACAGAGCACAGGATGGGAGGTGAAGAGTTCTGCTCACATGATTCCCTAGCTGGAATATCTGATTCCCTCCCCATGTTCATGGAATTTGACCTTCTCCACAGCTCTCTGTTGGGACACTCCCCCTGAATTCCAGATTCCTAAAGAAAATCCCAAACAATTATCACCAGAACATTGGAACCACTCAAAAATGCTATGAATTTGCTCGACATAATTGGTGATGTATTTGTGAATAGGACTCTGAAACTCAAAAACAACATCTATTCTAAAAAGAGAAAATATGGATCTCATCTTCAAGTCGTATTCCCTCAGAATAGTATGCTCAGACGACCTAAAGATCAAAGAACTGATTTCCAAAGCCTCCTGTGAAAATAGTGTGAAAGTTGACAACAGGCACATGAACTTCACCTTGTGACAGAGACTTCCACAGAACTCAGGTCTTCAGATGGCCACCAGGACTTCCTTTCGTTCCAAATGCCACCCGGAATTTGAGATCTATGTCCCCTCAGGTTCTTACTGGGCAGATATGGAGAGTGAGCCTTGGTAACCACAACAGCTTGAGACAGAACAGAAAGAGCATCCAGTCTCACCAGTGTGGGTCATGGAGCCCAATCCACACATACTGGTAGCTGTTCACACTGCTCTTGACCAAGGAAGACAGGAACTGTGCTTCAGCCTCACTGAGCACAGACACAAGGTGTCCTTCAGACCACTTCTGGCAGGCCAACTGCATGGTTGTGAAGCAAGAAAATAAGAGGGAGCCTGAGACCTCACTGGAGAAGGACAGGGCCAAGGTAGGTGTGGGGCAAAGGGAATTAATAAGGATGTTCATTCCCATCCAGGAATCCCGGAGATCCTTACCTTGAGACACACGTGGCCTTTCACACCTAACCCCTCCACTCAGCACTCACAGCAGCATCTATCCAGGATTTTGGTGTAGTAAACAAGGCATGACAGTGGGAGGCCTAGGCCTTGGAGCCTTTGGGACCAGCTGATGCGTGGAGAGGGCTGTTCCTTCTCAATGTCTTCACCTGGGTAGAGGGAGATACAGAGAGGGATGGGGTCAAATGATGAGTGGAGATTGGGGGGAAGGACAACTCAGGGAGTGTTATGAGGTCTTCTTTTGAGAGGAAAACAATAATCCCCACTACATATCCTCTTTACTAATGCTTTGAGGAATTCTTAATCTCAAAATAGACCAACTATATATTGGAGAATCTCCTTTCATTATGCCCTTTCTCCATATTCAATAGCCCATGATGCATCCCACTTTGGGTCCTCCAGTCTTTCTCCTTCCCTGTAGTTCACTACTGATCTTTCAGTTTCCCTCCTTTAGAAATTTAACAAAATGGGAAACTACCACAGTGGGTCTGAAGAAAGGCAGGAAGAAGAAAGGATAGCAGGCAGTTTCCCTGAGTGAGGATATACCTCACCTTACCTGATGAGATACCCAGGAGCCTTCTTTCTCTTCGTAGATCTGAACACTCACAGATAGCACAGTGATAGAGGAAGAGGAATCTCATCTTGCACCTGAGACAGGAGCATGAGGCAGGGCAGCAGCATCCAGGACATGCTGGGTAGGGGCAAGGTTGACAGCATGGTGTCTATTAGTGAAGAGACAATCAGATCACTGAGGAAAATGTGTCCAGAGAGAAGACATGCAGAGACCCTACTGCCTCTTGTCTTTCTTTTGTCAAGAACAGTATTGGGTACATTGATCTTGGTCATATTCATTCCCTTCTGTAGGCCTGGAATGAATTGGGAAATCTAAAATCTCTATTATTTCTGAGAGCTCCCTGGGTAGACTTTTCTGAGTCTCAGATCTTCTGAGGGAACAGGTGCTCTCCTCCACCTGCTTTTTTAATCCCAGTGCTTCTAGAATCCTTGCCATCCATATTGCATTCTTGCATTCCTACTTACCTGTCTCGTAGTTCCCTGGGATTGTTTTTAGACTAAGGAAAGATGGATTTTATAAGAGGGTCTGAAGGAGGGGCATTGATAACAATAGCAAGAATGTTTAGATATGACCAAGGACTTTTCCTGGCAAGTGCTTGGAATTATTATAGATCCTGATTCTTTCCAGTTAGCATACCAGCATTTCTACCATTAACAGGTGAATTAATTTTTTTTTCTCTTGAACTTGTTTGTCTCATAAAATTTATTAAAGTTTTAAAGATACAAATCCAAGGAAGTTTCTTCAGACATCTCTCAAGCATTTACTTCTAAAGGCACATACATTTCTTTTTACCTTGTGTGGTAAGATTAAATAAATCATGGGTCAAAAATGGAGGTGAATATAAGAATTAAATGTGGCAGAGATAGGTAAGGACTTAAAAAGAAAGTGGACCTAAGATGGTGATGGTCTGTCGCTTAAACATGTTAATTTGTTTAAAATTCTAATTATCTAATGATCAGATGAAAGGACCTACCTTGCCCTTTCTTCTGAAAGATGTAGCTTCCCTGATATGTAATGACAATGTGGCAGAATAAGAGACAACGAGGGAGCACAAAGCAAAAGTGGTACTATGATCAAGTGATGCAGATCAGAAGAAAATAGAGACTTAAAGAAGTCACAGCAGGATTGCAGAAAATTATAAATCTTAACTGATTCACACATAATCCAGATCTCTACTGCAGTGGGGTGCTCACTATTCCTAGGCTAAAAGGGAACTCACCTGCAAGATGGTCATTTGGTGTTAGATTAAAAGCCAGTTCCATTGTATTCTTACTGAGAGGATAGCCAGCTTCGTGTATGTATATTTAGGGGAAAAAATTAAATTAGGTTTACTTCTGAGTCATCAATTTGGGCATCTCAGAGAAATGTACTATGTGATCATATACTGTGGTTCAGGTTCATTTTTGCCAATCTAGGTAAAGGGTAGGCTGAAGTTTTCACTCTATCATAGTTATAAGAGAAATTGTGCACAAGTATGTGCAGTGAGGGGGTTGTAATGAGGTTGTACAATGAATTCATAATTTATGAACTCAATTCCGAAAAGCCAGGATTTTTTCTTCTTTTTTACAAATGGACATGAAAGTATGTAAACACAAAACAATTACTGTAGTGAACACTTTATGAACAATTGTGAAGTTTAAAAAATAAAATATCATATCAATGTGATAGTTTAGATGATTGGAGAGATAACTAGATTAAAAGATTCATTTAAGAAAAAGTGCATAATAGCAATCACAAATCCAGAATGGCATATGTCTCCAACATTGAAACATCCAATATTACAGAAGAAAAAAAGATTTTTAACATTAAAAGATTCTAAAGTATAAAAACTAAATCTAGCAAGTAAACTGAGTCTTACTTA